GGACGGAACAGAAGCAGAAGGAGTTTCTTAAAGAGACAGAGGCCAATTTCAAGGCGTTTAGAAGAGGAAGTGATGAGAAGATAAGTTTTATCTTCTATTTAAACATAAAACAGCATTTTAATAACAGCTAAAGGTGACATAGATACTTTATTATGGTATAGTATTTAAATATATGCCTGAAAAACATATAATATTTGCCCTTTAAAATGATTAGAATCAATGCCACTGTGTTTGCTACAGAGGCTGTCATGCTGCTATGCTAAGTAGAGGTCTTGAGCACAATGCTCACAACTATTATCTCCTTTTYATTGTTTTTCATATTGCTTGCGTTGTCACGCAGAAAGACGTCGGCATGCTTTTTGTCTGTTTCCCATGCATTTAACATCTTCACAGCTGTGTCGCTTCGTTCTGCTTAGATCCACTGAATCTCTGGGCATGAAGCACWGCATGCTTCTGATCAAACAGGGAGTCGGTTCAGTGTGCAGTGTGACTGAGCAATGATGTGAAGACAGCCGTAACTTTAAAYAAAATAACTTGTATTTACTGAAAAGCTTCTACAGCTTGGGTAATTCTCTGTTATTGACATCTGATCGGGTCGTGGGTGAATTATTTAAGGACAATTCTATATTCTAAAGCATTCCTATTCCCTGATATAGTTTTTGAAACAATTTATTAAAGCGCTTGAACAGAATAGATTTATCACACCTAGTAGTGAGAGTAAACAATAAAAACAAAATGTTTTGATGCTCATTTTTCTTTCTGATTTAAATAAAGTTGAAATAAATGACACTAAACTGCCTTTGTTGTGGAGCACCTGCAGCATATAAGAAATTTATGTACGTACAACTAACTACAAATTATTCAAGAAATCTTTTTTTACAGTCTATAAAGTTTTAAAAAGATTAAGTTGACAATTTATAATAATTTAAAATCTGTTGAGATGGTAATATGTGCACTAAATGGATGCGTCATATACCAAAGAAGTCCAAATTTATTAAGTTATTAACACAGGATGCATGATTGTTTTTTCACTGTGATTTGCTAATGTTTACATAGGTAATGTTTGTTGTGTGTCAGACTTAAATAGGGATTTTGTAAATATTTTAAAGCATCAAACATAAAGTTTAARCTTACAAAAAATGATTTTGGAATACAAAAAATAACCATCAGGCAATAAAAGTTCTTTCAATTCTTTCAAGTATTTTGGAATTTTTTTTCTTGCTAATATGTACCATAGTGTGAAGCTTTTCAAATATTTATATATATTTTTTAAGTTTCTGCTTTTCTGTACTTCACTGTGAACATATTTTTATGATTCCCTGTCAAACATCAAACCATCCATGTTTTTTTTTTCTCCCTCCATTGTGGAAAAGTACCTGATCAAAAAGATAAGCATGTAAGCTGAGGGACAGTTGCATGAAGCAAAAGGTAGAGAAGAGCTTTTTGTGGAGTGCTGATTAGTCTTTGTGAAGTTGGTCTGATAAATCAAAGGCTATGAATTGTTTCAGAAGGGGATTTGGTTTGTTCAGGCCTAGGCTGCTGTTTCCCTGCTGTGGTTACAAAAGATAGATGGACCCGTCGGGGCTAGACGGGGTATCTCTGCTCTCCATCACTATAGGGGGGAGTTTACTTTGATAATCCCCTTTTTTTTTCCCCCATTGAGGGTTTCTTCTAATCCAGGTCTGGGGTGTTGGGCTTTGGTAAGAAGATAAACACAACTCAAAATGTAACAAAACCTAAACACATATGTCTGTTGAATGATACATTTCTGTATTAAATATTTTGAAGCAGTAAATCTGACAAAGACCATTCAGWCCAGGTAAAATGGTTTATGATTCACCAGAGGCTTGTTGTTGTGATTGCCTTCCTATGGATTCTTTCTATTTCTAACATCTCACATTGCTTTTTTAAATAAAGAAAATATGCTTTTACATTTTAGAAGTACTCATTAAAAAAGTGCATAAAGCTCTTCCTACAGCACCACMCTCCCAGCTAGTTTGTTTATTGTAATGGTTGTATGTTAGTTTGTGAGCCGAGTTAAAATCAAAGCATTTTACACTAAGGCCTGTGGGAGACGTCTCTCCTCCCGTTTCGTTCATAATCATTAGTGTACACATTTGCCCAAGTTTGAAATTCCATTTTTTGTTTTTTTTTTACTTTGGAAAAGTATTTCAGAAAAAAAGAGAGTGAAAATGATGGATGTTGGTAATAAATATAATGGTTGAAATGTTTGCCTGAAGAAATATTAATGCTATTTGTTTTTGTGCCAACAAAGGACTTTGAAATCCGATTTTGCACTCCCCGCATGAAGAAAACTCTTCATTTTTTTTACTCCAAATTAAAATAGCTGTCATTATTTTCCCAAAATTTATTCTAATGTCATTTTGATGGTGTGCAAGCAGCCTAATTTTCTGTCCTCACAGAGGCACTGAGTGCATTTTCTTGTTGGCCTTGATCTTGCTTTGTGGCTGCCATCAGTGTGTTGAAAGGTCTGCTCACATTTTCTGCCATTTCCCTGGAACTGGTGTTACACCAGAGAAATGTCCACATGTCTGTCAATGAAAGAGCAATGTACAGGGTTAGCAGCCATTTTTGTCTTATGTTTATTCACACAAAATTCTGTGCTTTATGTAGTAACAGACAAACAAAAAAAATCCCCTGTTGTAGAACCTAACCACTCTTGAAAATCCTTTTAGTTTTATTTAGAGATAAACTAGTGGGTAAATGATGTCTAATCTGATTGATAAACGATTTTGTTTAATTAGAAACAACACTTTTATTTAATAAAACTTCCTACCATGGTTTGGGGCTATTATCATACTTTGACACTTTTCAATAATTTTCCTTGACAAGCTTTTAAGGGACAGTATGAAACACATCGTTTTAATTTGAATCATACACGATTATGCACAAACATTAGCAAATGTATGACAAATTAATTTAATTTTCATTATTTCCATTTAGGCATTATTTCCACTCTTGTTATTTTCATCAGCATTTTTGGCATGACATTTCTATCACAGTATTTTCTGTGAATTATTTTGACATAGTTGTATTGTTTTCATTTCTTATGTTTTAGCTAAAAATAGTCATCTTCTGGCAGTCTGAAAAACATATTGCTTAATGTGCCAGCTCTTAGCTTTTTATCTGCTTTTTACAAAACATCTTAATGCCTGGAATGCAAATGGTGTCATGCTTAGTGTTGGCTTCTTATAGTTTTTTATTCCAATTTAAAGTATTTGACTGCGTATTATTACTCCTCCTGCGATGTGCAGCATCTAGCACTAACTACAGTAAGTAATGTTGTAGTGCTGAGAAATAGTTAGAAATATGTAAGAATGTTGATCTTTGACCGGTTCCCCAGGTCACTGGTTTAATAACTATGCAAAAGTATTYGCTAATTAATGCTTGAAATGTTTAGTTTTTGTGTCATGGAGACAATGCAGGGCAAGTTAACTGAAAAACTRAATTTCAGGTTTTTTGATTAATTAATCTAGAAAACAATAATTCAATTTTATAGGAGATACTATTTATCTGAGAAAAACACAAACAGAGCCTAACAACCTTGTACTGCCTTCTAAATTACAAAAATTAAAATAAAAAAACACTTTATTAACCATTTCCCCAAAACTTCTAGCCTGTTATGTTTCTAACGATTCAGTAAAAGCATTTCTTCTGTTCAGGTAAAGTTTTGTGAAGTGATTTGTGTAGATATGTAGGTTTAGGTTCTCAGTCATCCATGACTTGGTAAATCCTTTATTTAAAAAAAAAAATAGAAACAAACTCCAATCCAGATGACATTTATTTACTTGCAGACCTCACTGGAAAACAACAGTTCGATGCTTTAGCCTGCATCTTGTCCTCACTTTGTTGTGGTAAGCAGTGCCAGGCGGTGATAACTATAATAAAACACCTTGTCAGTTTAGAAGACAAACATGGTTCAGATAGTGAAACTATTTATTTTTATATACAATTGTACTTATTAACTCAACCCATAAAACCATGTTGATGTAGAGCTCTTTTCTCTGTTTTGAAGGAGCCATTTATTAAAGCTGTTGAGTTGTGAGCAGAGACAACATGAGGGTAGTTGTGTCCTATGATCTAACTGTACTCGGCACACAGCATATGTCATCATAAATGTGATTATTTAGTGAATAAAATAGTCTCTTCTATGACTTGTAAGGATAAAAATAAGTTAATAAACTGAAATCCCACCTAGATTTTTTATACTTTGTTATATAAAAAAAAGCTTATTCCGTAATTCCTGCATTGCTTGGTCTAACGTTAACATTCTGGTTGTGTTTCATAAAATACGCCTTAATGTAAAATAGAGCTCAATCCAGCTACGGACAGGAAAAATAAAAAGGAGACTGAAATGGACAAGTCCTTGAACCAAAGGTAAAGTCACGCAAACGAACAGAAATGTCTTCCTCTAAGAATTCAGACGGTGCTGTCAGCAGTGTGGATTGGGGTTTGGGGATCACTGTGACCTTCTCAGTGGCCTGAGTGTGTGTTGGCATGGCATGACTGATGCAGATTATCATAGCTGGAGAAAGCCAATTACTCCAGTCATCACTGCTCCCTCAGGGTTTCTCTTGGTGGAATGAAATGTATTACAAAATTCTCCGTGCAACCTTCTGACAGTGTTTTGTATTTCAGTGCTGATCCCCTCAGTTTGAGTGTTAATAGTGCAGTCAATAGGACCCACCCGAGCCTCAGAGCCCTCTTTGGCTCCAATGAGCTTGTGCTCCACAAAGCAGGGAGGTCATGCCTTTTGGAGAAGTGGATGAATTACAGTCTCCTCTGTTTGTCTTTCTCTATTCAAGACAAAGCCTTTTTTATTATTTTGGTGCCTTCTTAAGGCTCATCTCACTCAGTGTCCTTGAACAGCTGCGGAATGAATAAGTCGGATTCCGTAGACTGTGCTGTGGTATTTTGTGAAACAGAACCAACAGTGGCTAATCAAAAATTTGTTCTGCTTGGTTTTGTTTCCAAAACAGATTCGCTACAAGACCAGAAAAGCTGAGATCACAGAACGCAACGCTGCGTCTGTAGGATGTACACTGACTACAGATCAAGCAGAGTCACAGGTAAGAGGCCTTCACTGCCAGTGTGTAATTTAATAGTTTTAATATTCTGCAATATTCACAGCTCTTGCAGTGGCTATTTTAAATAATGCTTAATTTTTACATTGCAAAAATAAATAATAGGCCAAACTTCTCTTTAAACACAAAAGCATTGTCAGTAATCTGGCAAAAGCCTTATTTTGTATCTATTTTTGTTTTACCCATAAGCACTTTCAGAAAAATACTTGAGAATCAGAACAGCATATTGGGCGCGGGGGGCTTGGGGATTTGGGGGCGTGCCACCCCTGGGCTGTGGCTCTGGTGGGGCGGGGGGGCTTGGGCTCTGGCGGGCG